CCCTTCCTTGCTTCCTCCAAAGGGAAAGCCATGCCCCTGTGGCCCCTTTTCTTGCCTCCTTCTGGCACCCAGCCTGCCCTCTGGGATCATTACTAATACTTACCTATTTTATTTGAAGCACTAGCTGCCCCCTGCCACGCTTTCCTGTGGCCCAGTCTGTGCCTACATGTTTTGTGTGTGTTACTTACTTGGCCAATCCCTCGTTGTCTGAGTAACATAGTCTTCCAGGTTCCTTGTCCTGGGGGTGGGTCCGTAGGTGGCTGTGGGGCCCTATTCTTGACCTACATCTTCTCGCGCAGTGAGGGCAATTGGTTTCCAGGTGGAAGGCGGTCCGGTCAGGGTTGGCTTGACACGGCTTCCTCTTGGCACGTTTCTCCTCGCCCTCCATTTGTGCCTCTTCAAATTCTACAGCACTGCTGGTCACAGCTGACCTCCAGATGGAGCACTCAAGGGCCAAGGTTTCCCAGTTCTCAGAGTTTTTAAGGTTGGCTTTGAACCCATCTTTCAATCTCTTTTCCTGCCACCAACATTCCGTTTTCCTTCTTGAGTTCGGAGTAGAGCAACTGCTTTGGGAGAGTGGTCGGGCATTGGACAACGTGCGGTCCAGCGGAGTTGATGGCAGAGGACCATCGCTTCAATGCTGGTGGTCTTTGCTTCTTCCAGCATGCTGACATTTGTCCGCTTGTCTTCCCAAGAGATTTGCAGGATTTTTCGGAGGCAGCGCTGATGGAATCATTCCAGGAGTTGCATGTGACGTCTGTAGACAGTCCACGTCTCGCAGGCGTATAGCAGGGTTGGGAGGACAATAGCTTTATAAACAAGCACCTTGGTATCCCTATGGATGTCCCGGTCCTCAAACACTCTCTGCTTCATTTGGAAATGCTGCACTTGCAGAGCTCAGGCGGTGTTGTATTTCAGTGTCGATGTTGACTTTGGTGGAGAGGTGGCTGCCAAGGGAGCGGAAATGGTCCACATTTTCTAATGTGACACCATTAAGCTGTATTTCTGGCATTGGAGAGGGATTGGCTGCCGACTTTGGAACACCCTCCCCAAAGACATTAGACTAGCACCCACATTGGCAGTCTTTAGGAAGAACTTGAAGACCTGGCTATTCCGATGTGCCTTTCCAGAATAGGATAACCCCCAGCACTATGTCCCAGAAGCACTTTATTAGAGTTTAAGACTCTCTGCACATTGCACTTGCCCAGAAATCCAACATACCACCTGCCACACCCAGCACTTTTAACCTGTACCCATCACTGGCCCGGCCCTGGTTTTTATTGCGTAATAGTGCAATGTTTTGTTATTGCTTATGTTTTTAATTTGCTTTGTATTGTATTGTTATTGTCTGTTGTTGTTGTGTTGAGGCCTTGGCCTTTGTAAGCCGCATCGAGTCCTTCGGGAGATGCTAGCGGGGTACAAATAAAGTTTAATAATAATAATAATAATAATAATAATAAATTGTGTGGTGACTGCTGGAACAGCACTTGGCTTTTCTCAATGTTCAATGACAGGCCGAGCGTCTCGTGTGTATACGTATATTTGTGTATATGTGTATGATGTGTGGTTTTGTGTGTGTGTATATATATATATATATATATATAGGCTTTTAAAGTCCCTTTTGCTGTGTTTTTCAGTGTGTTGATGACTGATGGTCACTCATTGGCCTGAGAGGTGTTCTTGTGTCCAAATTTGATGTCAATTCACCCTGTGGTTTTTGAGTTATGTCAAACCCACAAACAAACATTACATTTTTATTTATATAGATTTCTCTTCTGCCCTTCTCACCCTCCTGAGAACAACATTCCATGCCGGGCATAAATACACTGTATACAACTCTGCCTCCTTCCTCCCTCCTTCCCAGGCTCCTCCTCCCATTCCTTGCACTTTGTCTACACTGCCGTCTCTGAGCCCGGGCAGAAGGAGCCACAGTTTTTTTCTGTGAGCTACGTGGACGACCAGCCGTTTGTTCACTACAACGCCAGCACAAGGAGGGATCTTCCCACAGTCCCCTGGGTCAGAGAAGTGGACAAGGAGGACCCTGAGTACTGGGAGTGGAACACCCAGCGTGCACAGACTCATGAGCTGCGCTTCCAAGAGTCCTTGATGAATGTGCCCAGGTACTACAACCAGAGCGGAGGTGAGTGGAAGGGACGGGGCATGGGTTCTCCTCATCCCAGTAATTCTTCCTCTCAAAAAGAGGGAGTGGAAAGCAGAGGTGGATGAGATGGAGGGCCTGCTCACCCTTGAGCATTTTCCCATTTCGATCCACTTTCAATGCCATGACTGCCTCCTGCAGAACTCTGGAGCTTGCAGTTGAGGGAGGGAGGAGCCTTTCAAGGGCTCACCCAGAGAAGCCCTGGCCCTCCCTCAACTACAGGTCCCAGAATTCAACAGGAGGCAGTCACAGCATTGAAAGTGGATCGAAGGGAGAAAATGCTCAAGGGTGAGGAGGCCCAAAGAAAAGGCAAGTGGGGGGTGCAGCAAGAGAAGAAGGGTCTCCCTTGGCAGCTCCATCCTGGAAGAGGGAGGAGCAGCTCTGGGTGGCCTCCCCTTCCCACCTCCACCAAAGAAACCTCTAGGGTAGTGGTTCTCAACCTGTGGGTCCCCAGGTCTTTTGCCTCCAACTCCCAGGGCTCATGCACACAGCCCTATATCCCAGAATATCAAGGCAGAAAATCCCACAGTATCTGCTTTGAACTGGGTTGTCTGAGTATTCAGATAATGTGGGATTTTCTGCCTTAAGATCTGGGATATAGGGCTCTGTGGAAGGGCCCCCAGAAATCCCAGCCAGTTTTCCAGCTGTTAGGGTGTCTGGGAGTTGAAGGCCAAAACGTCTGGAGGGACACAGGTTGAGAACCACTGCTATAGAGGAAGGTCCCCCACAGACTGGGAGAGTAACATTCTTATTATTATTCTTTTATTTAGTTGTAGTACTTCTATTCCTCCCCCCCCCCCCTTCTCATCCCGAAGGGGACTCAGGGCAGATCACAGAATGCATATACAGCAAACATTCAATGCTGGGACAAGAATTCATTACTGCAGCTGCAGCTGGTGATTAACCTGCTGTACTAAAGCTGGCCCCAAAATAAGAGGCACCCCCCTCCTCACCCAGAGAGAGATCCCCAGAGAGAGGAGGGATGCGCTGCCTTCCAACGTGGGCCTCTTCCATGCAGCCTGTTTCTGAGAGTGGGGGGCAGGAAGAGGAAGTGGGGATAATGGGAACCTGGAGAAAGGACAGAGGAAATAAAATAAAACCCATGCTTCTCACCCTCACACTCTTCTATAACACACTCCTCCAAATTTTCAGTTAGGCCTTGATTCATTTTAAGTTTTGCCATTCTGGCGATTTTCTATTAGAACTTTCAATTTATGTACGAGTTTACATTCCCCCCCCCCCCCCCCCCCCAAGGAAGTGTTTGGGAAGAAGCCTCAGTCAATGTAGTCTTGGATTTGGTTATAAGTGAACGTGCCTAGGATGGTGTTACAAAATGAGCTTCATAGAAGATCTTCATGTTTTAATAAATAATGCTCACAAAAAATGATGTCCAGGGATGAAGCCCTTTGCCATTGTTTTCCATTACATTTATTCAATTGTCAAGAACACCCCCCCCCCAACCCCCAACCCCCCAATACTCAGACTCAATGCAGTTTCTATGCAGTTAAAACCAATACAGGTTTCTTTTATTGTGTCAGAGGCAAACCGAGGGTACAGTTCCAATGTATTAAAAACACAAAGTAAAAAAAACCCTGACAAGTAGCTGCAGCATGCAATAGAGGTTAAAGTGCAATAAAGCCTATTTGTTTGTTTGTTTGTTTGTTTATTTTCTGCCTTTCTATCCCGCCCTTCTCACCATGAAGGGGACTCCGGGCGGCTCACAATTCGACGCCGTGGGTACATATATAGAAAATAAAACAACATATACTTTAAAATCACATAATTAAAACATATTAAGCTTAAAAACAATTACTTATATTCCAGGAACCATTCCAGCTGTCACTTGCATTATTATTTGCTGGGGTTTCTGTGCAGTATCAAAACCATACATTTAACCTAAGAGCCTACTCTAGGAATCCAGGTCTTCCAGCACAACTTCCCGTAGAAAGTGAGGCCATAGAGTCTTTGTGGAGGACCTGGAGATTCCTAGAGAGGCCACAAGGGTCATTTAAAAAATAATGTCCCACATTTGTTTTCCCAGCCATTAAAAAAAGATAGAAAAGTGAACTTTTGCATGATGGAAATCTGACTTTTCTCCCATGGGATGATTGAGTTTTGTGCCGTCACACCCAGACACTATAACGTTAAAACTAAGATGTGTTTCTCTCTTTATCTGGGCGAATTGTGGGTGCCTTACTTAGGAGCTTAAGATTCTCAGCAACTGAGGCCACTCCAGGTTTTGAACATCAAACAAGACATTTATTTCTCAAAGTCCTTGGGAGATGTGGCACGTGGTGAAGTTACAAACAAAACAGTCAATTTGTGAAACCATGTAGATGTTCTTTCCTTCCTTTTTCCTCCAGCTGCTGAGTTAACTTCCCCCAAATGGTAGAAAAAATCCTGGGATTTTCTGCCCTAGCCCTAAACTGCTACCTTTTAGAAAGAGCAGGTCTTCCCCTATTCAAGCTTAAGGCTAGTTTTGGAGATGAAGTAATGGAGCCTCTCCCAATGGCAAAGAAATCCGGAGATATTCCCTGCCCCAGCGCTGAGCTGTAATTTTCAGGAAGAGCTGGTCTTCCCCTATCTAAGCCCAGCACCAGTTTCAAAGGCGAGAGGGTCTCTAACCTGAATCTCAATATCAATCTCAATAGTACTCACAATGGCTTGTCAGAGCTGCCTAGCTTGATCTGAGGCTTTTTTCTATACTAAAGAAGGCAGGGGAGATTCCAAAATGGAGATCTCATCCCCAGGAAAAAGGGTGGTCTCTAGACCCAAAGAGATACCTTTTTAAGCCAATAGCTGCAAAAGGCCTGCAGGCTGGCTTTCAGCCTCTGTTAATGGTTAACTTCCAGGGTGCTGCTGAGAATGTAGCAACCCTGGGAGAAATGCAAAGGGATGCTATTTCAAGCAACTAAAGGGCAATGCAAACCAAGCTCCTGGAAGACGGAACAAGTTTCAAGTCATTATGACAGATTGTGGTGTTGTAGTGAAGTGTTGAAATAACAATTAGAATTCTTAGTTCATGAAAGTAAAAGAGTTGTGAACCTCCGTAAATATTTGGGAGAAATGTGGGAGAGACATCTGATTCCAACCATTCCAAAGTGCCCTTGTCTGCCTTTGTTAATGGCGTTACATTGTCCCCCTCCTTCCTTTCTGTGGGTCTCTTCCAGGGACACACACCTGGCAGTTTATGGCCGGCTGTGAGCTGAGGAGAGACGGAAATAAAGGAGGGTATTGGCAGTATGCCTATGACGGGAGAGACTACATCAGCCTGGACAAGGAGACTCTCACCTGGATGCCAGCCGACGTCCCAGCCCAGAACACCAAGAGGAAGTGGGAGGCTGTACAGGCCCTTGCCCAGCTCTTCAAGTTCTACCTGGAGGAAGAGTGCATTAAGTGGCTGCAGAGGCACCTGGAGTATGGGAAGGAGTCCCTGCTGAGGACAGGTGAAGGGAGTCTCATGAAAGCCATGATGGGGGTGAGGTAGGAGAGGAGGGCTGCAGGGGCTTCATCTCCTTCCCATCCCACACATTTTATATTTCAGTGGGAGGAAGGCAGGCACTCCAGGCAGGAAAGCGATGGTGGGAGTCTGAACTGCTCCTCTTCAGCAGCAAGGTGGGGAGGGGTGCATCTTGGAACACTTTGGAAAGAAACATGCCAGAAGGAGGCTTCATTCCATGTTTTCCTTGCAGGAGACTGGATCCTGTTTCAGATGAAGCAGCTTCCCAACATGGAGCCTCCTTTCCCCTTTCAACCTGAAGGGAAACCGTCTCTGCCTTTCTCCTCAGTGGGCAATTCCTGCCAGAAAGTGAAATAGAAGCACCACATCCAAGTAATGAGAGAGAAGGGAAGGAAATAGGGAATGTGGCAGCACCTCACTTCAGATTAGCTAGATTTTATTCTAACCAGCACTTTCATGAGGATGAACCTTGTTTGGCAGATGAAGTGCAGAATGATATTAAAATATCAAGTTATAAAGCATATTTATGCAATTGTGGGAATGCATTAATATCTCTCTAGGTCAGTGTTTCTCAACCTTCCTAATGCCGCGACCCCTTTATACAGTTCTTCGTGCGATGGTGACCCCCAACCATAACATTATTTTTGCTGCTACTTCGTAACTGTCATTTTGCAGCTGTTAGGAATCATAATGTAAATATCTGAAATGCAGAACGTATTTTCATTCACTGGATCAAATTTGGCTCAAATTTGAATACTGGTGGGGTTGAAGAGGGATTGGTTTTGTCATTTGGGAGTTGTGGTTGCTGGGATTTATAGTTCACCTACAATCAAAGAGCATTCTGAACTCCACCAATGATGAAATTGAACCAAACTTGGCACACAGAACTCTCATGACCAACAGAAAATACTGGGAGGGTTTGGTGGGCATTGGTCTTGAGTTTTGGAGTTGTAGCTCACCTACATTCAGAGAGCACTGCAGACTCAAAACAATGATGGATGTGGACCAAACTTGGCACAAATACTCCATATGCCCAAATATGAACACAGATGGAGTTTGGGGAAATAAACCTTGACATTTGGGAGCTGTAGTTGCTGGGATTTATAGTTCACCTATAATCAAAGAGCATTCTGAACCCCACCAATAGAATTGGGCCAGACTTCCCACACAGAACATCCATGACTGACAGAAAATACTGTGCTTTCTGATGGTCTTTGATGACCTCTCAGACACCCCATCCCCAGGGGTCCTGGCCCCCAGGTTGAGAAAGACTGCTGTATTGCATTTGAAGAAGTAGTTTTGCATCCCTGGAAACTCACTCTAAATTAAAAGCCAGGTAATCTTCAGTCTGCGTCCAGGTTCCTCTCTTTCTCCCTTCCTCCTCATTTGGTTGCTTCAAGAGACTAGCACAGCCACTTTTGTGGAGACATCTCCCAAGTGATCAGAGTGGATAGATTTCCTTGGAAGGAAAGGTCAGACAAAAGTGGAGAGAGGATTCCTGACCTGAATCTTCTGGAGGTGAAGAGAAGAGCCCTGGGACCTTTTGTATTTGGAAAATGTCTTAGAATGTATCTGAGCATGTGCAGAGTGTTAGGCCCTTTCCTATGGAGACTGTTTGCAGAACCCATAAGAACATGGTGCCCCTGAGCATGGCCTTATTGCCCAAAATCCATCCAATGGCAAATAGCAAGGCCATGGACTCTTAATTTTCCTTTGGGCTTTCCACCCTGAGTTCCTGTGCTGTGGTTGGGTTTTTTCAAAGCATCTCAAGGTGCTTGTGAATCCTCTTGTTTGACAGGATTTTTTAAATAATGGGGGGCAAATACTGAATATAGGGGGCAACTTCCTTCCCTGAAACTGGAGCATTCACTTTTCCCGTCATTTGGAAAAGCCCTGTGCTTATTCTCATGTCATCTTTGCAGAGAAGCCAGAAGTGAAGGTGACACGCAAGGTGGACTATGATGGCATGGAGACCTTGATCTGCCATGTGGGGGGCTTCTACCCCAAGGAGATTGACATCACCTGGACAAAGGATGGGGAGGTCTGGATGCAGGATACCTACCATGGCCTGGTGTCCCCTAACTCGGATGGGACTTACTATACCTGGAGGAGCATCACAGTGTACCCCGAGGAGAGGGAACGCTACAAATGCCACGTGGAGCACGATGGGCTTCTGAAACCTGTGGACGTGGCCTGGGAAGAGCCTGGTGAGTCAACTGAAGGAGGGAAGGAAGGTTTTGGGAGGGACCATCCATAGCAATGCAGAGTCTGCACTATTACCCTTCTGGCAAATATTTTGTGGGCCATACATTCACATTCCCGCTCATCTCGAGGAACTGCCATGAAAAGTTTGTAATTTTTTAAAAAAGATTTGCTGCAAATGTTCCAGCAAATTAGAATAAGTAAAGCTTATTAGTTTACTGTGTTTGTTTAGAGCATTTATACCCTTGAGTTTTTTTTTTTTTAGAAATCAATCGCTGTCATCAGGTTTTACCTCTAATTGCACGAGGAAAAGGGAATGGCAGTGCGGAGGAATGTGAAGTCTAGTACATCTGACTGCAGTTCCTTCTCTCAGAGGTCAAAGCAGGGGCATGTGGGACATGGAAGGTGGCCTCTTACCAACCACTGCAGCCAAAGGATAATGGAGCGGTATCTGGCTGCTTTTCCATTATGGCTTCTCCTTCCACATCCAGCTCTGCAAAGCCAGACAGAGGATCATGGGAGCCAGGCTGTTCCTTCAATACACAATTTAGCCTTGGGCTCCATTAGCTCCTTCTTTCACCATTTACAACCTGCTTCATAAAGGGTTTGCCTTGAGGATTTCCTTTCAATTGTTTCCTTCCTCCCTGTTTCTCCCCCAGCCTCCAACCTGTGGCTGATCATCGTGGCGTGTGTTGTGGGTGTTACCCTCCTGGCAGCTGGGATTGCTGGATCTGCTGTGTATTTCAGTGAGTAAATAACTCTGGTTGTATTTCCTTGTGGGGAGAAGACAGTCTGTATTTCTGGGGAGAATAATTTTCCTGTTGAAGAACCCCCTGTCAGTTTCTTGACCTTGGAGTGTCTGCTCGGAGACACAAAATCAATCAAATGAAGCGTGCTACCTTGAGTCAGCTCCAAAGTCCAAGGCGGCACTTAGATCTATTGCTATTACTAAAACTGCAAAACTATTTACAGGAGCAGCCAAAGACACCTCTATTTCTCTTAGCCGTTCATCATTAGAAGAGAACTCTGCAAGCTCTTCTCTCATCCTTGGAATGCACGATGTAACAGGAACTGTCCAAAGTTACACTCTAGGCATTAATCACAGCTCCATGCATTTAACCATTACACAGCTTTATAATTCTACACCACACACAGACTTTAAACTACAAACAATATTTCATTAGAGTTAAACCCAAGTTCCAACACCCCCTCCCCTCCCCTTGATGATCAGCTTAACCAACAACTTGGAGGCTTGGACTTCTCACCTTCTCTCAGTCACATCATGAGTTCAACATTTGTTTGTAATCTGCTTGTTTGCTTTGTTCTGTTAGAAATGTAATATAATTTGATTCGTTGTTCTGACACGACAAATAAATAAACATCATGAGTTTGAGTCTCAGCCTGTTACCTGGAGACACTTTCCCATCTCTTCTAAAGGTCTGGGAGACGCCCATCCCTGCAGGATGGTGGGAAGGAATGGGAAAAACTCTTTGAGGAGAGAAGGAGGAGGGTGTGTAGTCTTCTCCATCAGAGAATGAAATTGTGTTGATCTCTCAGGATCAGCTTTCTTTTCTTTCTTTGCAGAAAAACAACAAAATGGCTACAAAGGAGTTTCAGGTGAGTATCTTCTCCCCTGTTGAAGGTTTCCTCCAGATGGATGAGGTGGGAATGGGAAGAAAGTAGATGGATTGAGAGATGTGCTCCTATGTCTCCAAGGGTTTAAGCCAAGGAGAGGGCTTTTTTGGCTGAAGGAATAAAATTGAAAACATTTCTGATGATTTTCTATTGTGAAAGGGGGGTTCTTGTTGTTCTTCATGAGGGTTTGTGGCTTCCAGGCCTTAGATCATGTCGGTAGCCCTGGGCATATAGAAGGCTGAAAGCCAAAATCTTGTTCAGGTTTGAAACACATGGTCTTTCACTTGTTTATGGCTCTAAGGCACACCATCAATTTGCGTTCATTATTATAGTTATACTCATTTCCCATCTGTTTTCCTGTTCAGGGCTCAAGGTGGTTTCCAACAAATTTTAAATAATATGGGAAAAGAAGTCACACAATCTGAACATTTAAGTGATAAAACTCTCAAAAAACAAAACTAGATAAATACCTTGAACCCTTGATGGTCATTTAAAAAGAGAAAAGCCCAGAAAAGAAATAGAAGATGCAGCACATTGTTTAGATGGATGGACACTGTAAAAATGAGTTCTCAAGACTGTGTTGAACCAGAAAGTTCTGACTGTCTTGCCTCTTTGGGAAGAGAGCAGCAGAGCCTGAGGGCAACAGCAAGAAGGCCCTCTCCCTTGCTCCCACCAGAAGTTCCTGTAATGGTGGTGGGACTGCTCACAGGAGGGAAGAGTATTAGAGACCAAGTTGAAGTCCTTTGGCCACATCATGAAAAGACAGGAAAGCTTAGGGAAGACAGTGATACTGGGGAAAATGGAAGGAAAAAGGAAGGGGGCCAACCAAGGGCAAGATGGATGGGTGGCATCCTTGAAGTGATTGGCTTGACCTTGAAGGAGCTGGGGGTGGTGATGGCCGACAGGGAGCTCTGCCGTGGGCTGGTCCAGGAGGTCACCACGAGGTGGAAACGACTGAACAAATAAACAACAACAGAAAGAGATCCAAAGATCTCTAGTAGATCTGAAAACAAGGGCAGCTTTGTAAGGGAGAATGTGATCCTTCACCTGGGCTGGAGCTCATCAAATCCAGTGGGACTTCATGCTGGCAGGGGTTGGACTGGGTGGCCCTGGTGGCCTCTTCCAAGTCTATGATTCTATGCATGTGCACATGGTTCTTTTCAGAAAAGGGGGCAAACATTTATGACAAACTCCTGTCCAACCACTGACCTCTTCCCTGTCTTCTCTCCTTTTCAGTTACTGACCAAGGATCCAACAGCTCTGGGACAGGTAAGTGAGAAGTAACGACCATCTCCAAGGGTAGAAAAAACTGCAAGTGAAGAAGACAAATCTTTCCCCTTTTAAGTCCATGGTTGTGTTTGATGCACCTCTCCCCAGACTTTCACCTCTCAGCTTTGTATAGGCTTCTAGTCAAGTGAAAGGAAAGCTCTCCATCTCCTTCTGGAATCTCCACCACCATCCTGTTGAGAGCAATGGCCCAGTTCTTGAGATTGGAAAGTGCAGTTGAGTTACAATCTGGCACCTCAGAGCCAAAGAGTCCTAGACTCTGGAATGACAGCCATAGAGCAGACAGAGGAGACGCTTCTCATCATAAATCTTTACCACCATCCATCAATGTTCATGACCCTCTTAGGTTCAATCCCCAGAATACTGACTTGTTTGACTCTTGAATGCAATTCTCAGTCAACTGTACTGTTGAAGGAGAGGCTAAGCCACTTTTCCTCCTCTTTTTTTCAGGGTCTGCTGTGCCCATCTAGAATCCCACAGCAAGGTAAATAAATGGCAGTGGGAGGGAACAGGGTTAAGCTTTTTGATAGGGAATGTTATTTGGGGCATATTTCCCCTCCCACCCTCATTCAGAAATTCACAGAGAATAGATTTAGAGGGAGGAGAAGGGTGCCATGGCACCCTTTGTCTCCTTCTGCTCCATTTTCATGGTTGCACTTGCTCAATGAGCAATTCTGGTGGCAGCTGCTGTTCTCTTGCCTGGCAGAGGCAGAGACATACAGCTGCAATAGGATTGGCTAGAGCAAAATCCCATACTTTCCCATCTCAATTTTTTTTTCTGGGAAAATTGCCTCTATCCCAGAACATCTAACTTTTCCCATGACTATTAGGTGGTGGGTTTGCAAATACATCTTCCAAGCTTCTAGTCCCAGAAGGCAGCTTTCCTTCATCACTTTCCACACAATTTGTAATGCTATCCGGTCCAACACTTCATGATGGAAGCAGTCTCTGGGGTCTCTGCAATGCACCTTCGCTTGTCAACTCTGGTGACATGAAGGACATCTCCCACCTTCTCCTCACCAGCACTTCAGTCCTCTCTTCCCCACTTGATCTTCCACCTGGATCAAATTCTTCTGGTTTCTATCTCTTGGAAGCATAGAGTTGGAAGAGACCTCATGGGCCATCCAGTCCAACCCCAACCAAGAAGTCCCAATTTAAAGGCTTTCCTTGTTTTCCTCTCCCTGGTGTGACCATCAGATTTGCTACGGAAGAGTAGAGAAGAGTAGGGAAGGGAAGGGAAGGGAAGAGAAGAGAAGAGAAGAAAAAAGAAGAAAGAGTGCATGCATTTGAAGATTTCTTCAGTGTCTTTCACTGACTTGTTGCCTGTTCAATTTTTGAGAATATTTTAGATTACAGGGAGCAGTCGAAAACACCTTGAGGTGATTTGGTTTTTTGATGGGAATAAAGAGTTTTAGAATTTATTTGCAGTTGAAAGGATGAGTTTAGGCTTTGCATCTGAAATAAAATTTCATTGCTACTATGTCCAAATTAAATTAATGTGCCTGTAATCCTGTTAGTAACTTACGCAATACGAAGACATGTGTCTTTTTGGGGAGGGGATTTATGAGGCGATTCCCTGTCCCGAAACCTGTCCAGCTTTGAGGGACCACTGCTGCTCTTTCTTCCTGGCAGAACGAGGAGGGAAGTCCAGATCCAAAGAGGAAGGTTGAGGCTCCTTCCACACAGCTGAATAAAATCCCACATTATCGGAGTTGAACTGGAATATATGGTAGTGTGGACTCCGATAACCCAGTTCAAAGCAGATATTGTGGGATTTTCTGCCTCAATATTCCCTGTCTCCATTGACTGCGCCCTCACCTGGATATCCTTGTCTTCCGTTCAAAAGTGTTGGGTTTTTTTCCCAATGGGCATTGAATTTTGCCTCTGTTAATCACCTTGACTTGCCCATAGGCTGAGAAAGGTGGTATATAAATATAGTAAGTAAGTAAGTAAGTAAAAAAATAAATATTCTAGGAAAACATGGTTCTGTTACTTTCATTTCCAGCTGTTAATTGTTTTGGCTTTTGCAAAATCAAAAAAACGCTTTCAGCTTTTTGGTGGGGAAATGTGAATTTTCATC